GGAGACGTCCTCAGCCCGCCGCCTGCCTGCCCGGCCCGAAGACGCTTGGCTCGCCGCGCCCCGACCCCCGAGCGGTTCAGTGGAGCGGCTGAGCGCGTTCCCCGCACCCCAGGGCCCCGGAGCCGCGCGCTCCTCGGGCTTCTCGGAACTTGGGTTCTTTGGGGACCAACGGGTTAAGGAAAGACTGCGAGGCATCCCCAAGTGCCTCCACGGGATGAGCGAAGTTGGGAACTTTTCCATTCATGGAAGTGAGAGGCTCAGCCTCGCCCGCGTTAAAGGGAAACTTGGTGGTTTTTCCCAGCCGGGGAGGCTGCGGGTTCTGCTCTGGGGAGTAGGAGAGCCTAGGCATGGCGGGTTCAAAGTCATTCGCGACTGCACTTGACCGTGACCGCCCGTGTTTCCCGTGGGCCTCCGCTCGCCTTCTTATTTTTCTTTGGGAGCCTTTATCCCAGAGAAGAGATGCTTGGGAAGAAATTGACCTTTCCTTCCATGATTATTTTGTTGACTGTGGTCCAAGATGAAGTTATTTATGGGCATTCTGGTCTCAGTGAAGAGTGCAGTTTTAATACAAAACCCCAAACTTGCAAACTTTTTTGTTTGCTAAATTTCAGTGATAGTCAGGTGGAGTAAAGTGTTTTGCACTTGCACATACTACGGTTTTCCGGAGCGACCCCATGTTGACCCTTGAGCATCAAGTACGCCTGTAGGGTGTTTCCGAGGCATAGGTTTCATGTGCAGTTTTCGTCGAATCACTCTTCTTTACGCTTAGTCACTGTTTCTCGCTGTAGAAGTTTAGCTGGTGACAGCATGGTGTTTGTTAAGCTCCTTAATTGCCAGTTTGTGCCTGGCACATTAATATAGTAACAGAAGCTTTTGTGTATGTGATTCTAGAAATTGGCGTTTTACGAATTCGTGATAAGAAACTGAAATTTCCTTTTGTATCCCAAGTATACTAAATGTTTAATTTCATTCTGTTTTCTATATGTCTAATAGGATTTAGGGTTTTTAACATTTTTGTTCTTAAAATACAAAGTAATTTAATAAAAAGCAGTACTGCATAAAATAATAGCAAAAAGCAGTACTGCATAAAATAATAGCAATTGCGGTTGCTAATTGCTAATATTTTGTGTATAGTTGAAGAGGTACTTTAAGGTCACTCAAAATAGTGTGTTTACTATTTGATATAACACGTTTCTGAAATGTGACTGTGGGATTATCTTTTAAATAAGTTCCTAACACTGCTGCTATTTTGATAAAAGGAATTAGTAACTGCTGGGCCTTCTATTGGAGAATGACACTGTATTTATACAACACTTGAATGTTAAAACCTTGAGTTAAAAAGGCTATATAAATATTAAATTTTATATTAATATTGTACACAGTGATAGCTATGAAGGCATTCAATAAAAGTAAGTATACCTTAATTAAAACCCATTTTTTAAAAAAATTAAAAAGTGTCTTTTAAACTTCTGTAAGCATTCCGTGGTATTTTTCTTTTTAAATAATGGGTAATTTTAGCACTAGGCACAGTAATTCCTCATGTAACTGAATTTAATAAGCTTTATCGATTTAAATAACTACATTTAAAAGTAATTATATATAAAACTCTGTATATAAATGTGGCTGTTGTATAAAGCAAAGTGCACCCATTTGGGGGGAACTATATGTTTATATACTGTTGGAAACACAACATAACTGACCAAGCTTTGCAGAGTTCTAGATTGCTTTCAGAATAGAACAGTTCCATCAAGCCTGTTCCTCCTGCCATTTTAGACTGAGTTCTGCCATTTGGGTGGACCTGTGCTTATGTGTCAATTCAAAGAGGTTCTTATCTGAGTATGAAATGTTTACTAACATGATTCTAATTTCTGATCTGAGTCTATGATAATTGCACTTGTTTATTTAGTGGAGAAAATTGCAAGTAGTTAGAACTTTCACTTTAAAATAAACTGACTAATTAAACAACAGGTGTATGTTTGATTATATCACATTTGGAAAAATAAAAAACTTAAATTCCATGTAACTAGTTTTCCTTGTAGAGTCAGAACCAAAATTTAATAAAATAGTATAACTCACTTACCTTTTGTCTTGGTTAGCCTCAGTTGTTAGCTTGGCACAGCCAAGAGTCATCTGAGAGGAAAAGCCTCAATTGAGGAATTTCCTGGATAAGATTGGCTTTTCTAGATCAGATATGTGGCCTTATCTCTGGGCTTGTCATGATTATTAATTGATACAGGAGGGGCCCAGCCTATTGTGGGCAGAATCTTCCTAGGTAGGTGGTCCTAGGCTATATAAGAAAGGTATCTGACCATATGCCACTGAGCAGCCCAGTAAACAGTGTTCCTTTATGGTTTCTGCTTGAATTTCTGCCCTGACTTCCTCAGTGATGGACTATGACTGTTTTTTTTCTTTTCTTTTTTTCCCCATGAAGCTGAGGACCGAACCCAGGGCCTTGAGCTTGCTAAGCAAGCGCTCTACCACTGAGCTAAATCCCCAACCCCTGGACTGTGACTTTTAGGTGTAAGCTGAAATGAACCTTTTCCTCCCCTCTATTGATTTTGGTCAGAGTGTTTTTATCACAGCAGCAGAATGACACTAGAACATCATTGGCCTGGGGGTGTGTGAGTTGGCAATTTAGTGACAATTTTCAAGTTTTGTCTAGACATCAAAACCACCATCACCCTTTATTTTTTAGGTATTTTTTAAAAATATTTTTTGTTTTGTTTTGTTTTTATTGTGGTGGAGACTGGAACTAACTCCTTGTACCTGCTAGGCAAACCCTCTACACTGAGCTACATATATCTGGACATATACTCCGGCTATTAAAAACAGATAGAATGACTAAGGTACAGATACATTATCTTTAAAACTAAATGCATGTATCTGACTTACAACTGATAGCTAAATTTGAGATTTCAACAATGAACTTCCTTGTAATAATGGTTAATTAATTGAGCAAGTCTATCTAGTTCCACATCAACCTTACATTGGATCATGTCATTGTTTTAAGTAGAATTCTGTTTCTTCTAATACCATGTTAAATGTAATACTAAGCAATAGGCTAGGCTGATGCCACTTCGTATTTTGAACAGATTTTATTACTTTGTACCCTGGTACCTCAATATTCAGGGTTTAAAAAAATACTTTAAAGTATTATTTTTATTTTATGTGTATGAGTGTATTGCTTGCACTTGCATTAAGTGCACCGTGTTGTACAGGGCCCACCGAGGACAGAGAGGGCATTGGATCCCCTGGAATTGGAGTTATTAATGGTTGTTAGCCTCCATGTAGGTGGTGACAATCGAACCCAGGTCCTCCGCAAGAGCAGTCAATGCTCTTAACCCCTGAGCCATCTCTCTGATTCTTATTTCCTTATATATTTGTCAATTTGGAGAAATATTTGAGGTACTGTCTCTGTGCCTTAAATGATCAGATCTCATTTCATTGTATGGGAAAATGCCACGTTTTAAAACTGTTTTTAAGGTTTACTAGTCAGCCACAGAGTATGAATTGGCAATAACTTCTATTAGAGAAAATTGAAGCTATTGTAAAATATTTCATCACTTACAGATAATTTTTAGTCTAATGAAAGCTTTTCCAGTAATTCTTTAAGTGTAAATTAATAGAAATTGTTTTGGCATGTTAGAAAAATTGAGTTTACTTAAGCTCATCTTGAGTTTGAAGCCACAGTTTTGTTTTCTACTGCCTGCTGATAAATCACAGATCGACAATTTAAAACCTGTTTCATGGGATTTTTGAGCAATTGTGAAATACCTTATGAAGGCTTTTAAAATTTTATAGTGATTTTGATTAGAAAGAGGATGAATGTGGGAGAGGTTTACATTTTAAAGCTGAGGTCTCTCCCCAGAAAGACTATTATTACATTTTCCTGTTTCTTAGTATATTTAACAGTAAAATGAATTTGAACTAGAGTCCTACTTTTTGCATTTATATTGAGAATTGTTAGATTCATGTGATTTCATATGTTCATATTTAAAAATATATATGAGCTTTAATAAAGAACAAAAAGATTTTCTTGATCACAAGGGTGATTAAGTGTTGGAATAAACTACAAGTAAAATTGTGTAATCTCCATTCCTCAAATAACAACTTAAAAGTGAATCACCAGTTACTAAAGAGCTGCTTTATTTACTTATTTTTATGTTTTATGTATTACTTTATGTGTATGAGTGTATTGCCTGCATGTTTGTAAGCACACTTGTGTCATGCAATTCTTGGGGCGTTGGATTCCCCTGGAACTGGAGTTAATAGACAGTTGTTAGCTACCATGTGGGTGCTGCAAATTGAACATAGGTTCTCTGCAAGAGAGCCAGTGTTCTTAGTGGCTGAGTCATCTCTCCAGTCCCATATTTTCTTAAACTTCTATAAGTAAACATGATTGCTATTCACCTTAGACATTTAAGTCCCACCTTTGTCACTTAGCTGTGTAAATGACTACACAAGTCACTGACCTCATTTTCATCTGGGTTTTTGTAGGAGATTGACATTTGATACATATTAAGAGGGGTAAAACATGTATGCAATTGGCAGTCCTTTTTTCACCTAAGTCTACTTCAGTGACTATGGACTTGTTGTTCTGGATGAATTTTTTTTTTTTTTGAACCTTCTTATTCAGAGGAAAATAATGTGGAAGAGGCTACTTAGATCGAAGCTTGAGAGCCTTCTACTTCTACTTTGAAAGTTGTTAGTTTTTGCATTTAAGTCAGAATTGTAGTGGTTACTATTTTAAACACTTTTGAACTAAGTGATCTTTTTAAGATGTGTTCTGCCTACTATGGTTCTGTGATGGTGTCCGCAGTAACACAGAGTTCCGAAAGCAGTGGTCACTGTTGAAACTGCTTGTCTTTTTGGGGTTCTCTCTTAGTACTAGTCAAGTTATAACCTTTAGCATGTGAGATAAACTCACTGTAGTTGTTGCAAAATAAGAATCCTACAACTGCTTTCACAGTCTAATCCCTTAGTAAAGTTTGTCTTATTCTTTATTTACATTTTTCTTTGCTTCATTTATAAATATTTGCCATTGCTAATCTATCATTTGCTTTGTCAGGGTTCTTGTAGCATAACTAGTTTAGAGATTCAATTTATGAGGAAAAATTTAAGTATTTTACTTTTTTTGTTGTTTTTAAGCACAATTTAAAAAATAGTTTTGGTGTTGAATGTGCCTTTTGTCCATGGCATCATTGAACATCACTATATCAACTTAGGACTTTTCTACCTAATGAAGAAGAGCTTTATTAATAACATTGCAGTTTTTATTATTCCAGTTTGAGGCATGTCAAGCTTCAACTAGAGGAGGAGCTATTAACAATTTAGGGAGCAATTAGCCATCTGCAGCCAAGATAGAATTTATTGAAAGGTATGTGGAAGAGCTGGCAGCCATATGTAGTACCTGAAGAAAAGAGACTAAAAGTCTGCTTCTTATTTAGAAAATTAAATATTTCGATGTTATTTTGTTTGAGAAATTCTGAGTTGAATCACCTCTGCCATGTATAAGCAGAAATACATAGTTGTAGAGGTCTTGAGTTTAAAGAGTGTTTCTAGGTAGGATGTATAGATAGATGAGCTTCCAGCCTATTAATGGCAATTGAAATATAGAAAGCAGAGAACACCCAGGAAGAATCGAAGTATGAATAAGAAATTGTATGAAATCTTGAAGAAAGAAAATATTTAAGAAAAGAAAAACTAGAGAGGTAGGAGGAAAATGGGAGAATTGTGAGAATATGAAGGGAAGGAATGGTTAACAGTCCAGACAGAGGGACTAGGAATCCTCATGATTCAGGCAAAGGTGACAGAAGCTGGAGGAAAAAGAAAGAGCACTTCAGATTTATGAGGAGCTCCATAGAGCAGTTTTAATGTGAGGTAGTAACAGTAGGAATTAGAGGCTTGAGTGTGGGGGCTAAATAATACTTAAATGAATTCATATGTTTAGAGGAGGAAAACAATCTAATAAAGTTTTAAGTATATTAAATGAAATTCAGAGTATTCTCAGGACTATGATGAGGGCTTTGCAATGACACATCAAAGTGAGCTTAATTGAAATTAAAAAGATGAAAACTATGGTATTCTATGAAGCCTAGAAGTTGAAACACGCATTAACTTTTATTAACCTTGACTTAGTTAATATACAGTACTGTATTTTGAATTGTACTTTGAAAGCATAATATGCCTTTTAGGTGTATTGTTATCTACTATGTAACTGTAAAACTATATTTTAAAGTTGTTACTTATATTTGATTTATATTATTGTACAGTTTTGAAAAATCAACCATTTTTGGTCTAATTTCTTACCTTTTCTATTCCAAAAACTAGAGCTGGACAGGCCATTATGGAAGAGGAGCTGCAGCACTCCCACTGTGTGAACTGTGTCAGTAGAAGATGCATGGTCAGACCAGAGCCTGGGATTTCCTGTGACTTGATTGGTTGTCCATTGGTCTGTGGAGCAGTTTTCCATTCTTGTAAAGCTGATGAGCATCGACTTTTATGTCCCTTTGAGCGAGTGCCTTGCTTAAATAGTGACTTTGGATGTCCATTTACCATGGCACGAAATAAAGTTTCTGAACATCTAGAAATGTGTCCTGCAAGTGTGGTGTGCTGTACTATGGAATGGAATCGATGGCCAGTTAGTTATGCAGACCGTAAGTCATATGAAAATCTAAGCAGAGATGTTGATGAAGTGGCACAATTAGATATGGCCTTGGCCCTTCAAGACCAAAGAATGCTTTTAGAATCTCTTAAAGTAGCCACCATGATGTCAAAAGCAACTGACAAGGTATCTGAATCTAGAGAACAAATATCAGTGAAATCAAGTGTTCAAGAAATACCATGTACTAATGGACTGGTATCTGTTGATGAAGAATCTTATGGTGCACTTTATCAAGCTACTATAGAAACAACCAGAAGTTTGGCTGCTGCTTTGGATATCCTGAATACTGCCACAAGAGACATTGGCATGTTAAATACGAATCCTCATGCTACCACAAATGCAATGGATGAGGAGCAGAATACCAGAGAAATCTTACAGGGTAGAAGCTTAAAAGACCAGGACCACCTATATGGGGGTGAAATAGGGGCAGTGGGTGGTGTTGACCTCAATGGCACAAGTCAGGATGCTCAGTCTGAACAAAACGGTTCAAGTGATTTACTATGTGTCTTGAATACAAGTTCTTACAGCACCTCTGCTCTTTGTAATGGCTTTCCTTTGGAAAATATACGTACACAGGTCAAAGACCAGGATCCAAGTTTTCATGGTGATTCCATACAAAGTAATTTAACAAATGGAGAATGTGTGGCAGCAGATGGTACTTCAGAACCTTCCAGTTCACTTTTAGTAGCAGCACAGCTTAGGGAAGTAATTCCTTCTAATGCTTTGCCTAATGGCACAGTTCAGCATATCCTCATACCAGATGGAGAAGATGAAGGAGAATTGTATTTGAAAAAAGTAGACCTAGGGGACTTGAGGAACGTGGATGTCTTATCCTTCAGTCATGCTCCTTCATTCAAGTTTCTTTCTGATTCATGTTGGTCTAAACCAAAGGAGGATAAAGCTGTAGATACATCAGATTTGGAAGTTGCTGAAGATCCCATGGGCCTCCAAGGGATAGATCTGATTACAGCAGCATTACTGTTTTGTCTAGGAGATTCTCCGGGTGGGAGGGGTATATCAGATAGCCGTATGGTTGATATATATCACATTGACTTTGGGACACAGACTTTTTCACTTCCGTCTGCAATATTAGCTACAAATACAATGGTCGGGGAAATAGCTTCAGCTTCAGCTTGTGATCATGCCAATCCACAGCTTTCAAATCCAAGCCCTTTTCAGACACTTGGGCTAGATCTAGTTTTGGAATGTGTTGCTAGGTACCAGCCTAAGCAGCGTTCAATGTTTACCTTTGTGTGTGGACAGTTATTTAGAAGAAAAGAATTTTCTTCGCATTTTAAGAACGTGCATGGTGACATTCATGCTGGACTCAATGGATGGATGGAACAGAGGTGTCCTTTAGCTTACTATGGTTGCACCTATTCTCAACGTAGATTTTGTCCATCAACACAAGGAGCAAAGGTTATACATGACCGCCATTTGAGGTCATTTGGAGTTCAGCCCTGTGTATCTACAGTATTGGAAGAGCCTGCTAGAAACTGTGTGTTGGGATTACATAGTGACCATCTGAGTAGTCTTCCTTTTGAGGTGCTGCAGCATATTGCAGGCTTTCTTGATGGCTTCAGTTTGTGCCAGCTTTCATGTGTATCCAGGCTAATGAGGGATGTGTGTGGCAGTCTGCTTCAGTCTCGTGGAATGGTCATATTGCAGTGGGAGAAAAAAAAATATCCAGAAGGACATTCATCATGGCAGATAAAGGAAAAGGTTAGTTTAATCTTATTAACCTCTTTTAGCATGGCACTTAATATTAATACAGCTATTAAGTTTTTGATAAAGTGACCATCTAAAATGTACTTAGTCAATATGATTGTGCATTTTAAAGTGGTAATCAGTGAAGGACTAACATCTTTAGAGTTGTTTGTCAGAGTCACAGGTATGCCATAGATTCCCTAGAGCTAGGTTCTGTTTTAGTATTTGTTTCCCCAGATGTGCTTCTCTACTCCAGTTCTTCTCTGCTAACTTCCTTTGTTTGTGTCCATGTGGCCTACCATCTTCTGATTGTGGCTGAAATATTTCCACTGTAAGACATTTGACGAACCCAGGTTTTCTTCTTAGCTCCATTTATCTCCATTCTTAGTAGTATCTTTGTAAGGATGAGAAAAAATTATAACTGCTACTACAGTCATCTTAGTAAGTGACCAACAAACTTGGTGATAGAAAATTTAAATGCATAGGTAAGGGTGAAGTGATTTGAATAAGGTGGATAACTGATACTATGGGTAGGGACTTAAGGATACATATAGAAAACTGGGCTAGAAAGTTAGGCAGACATAAATCCTGCCTCCACTATTTTCTTCCTGTGATATTCCTATTTGCTTGGCCTCTTCAATTTGAGGCATCCATCTCTCCAAAGCATTACAAATAATCTGTGATTAAAGGTACTTTTCATTTTAGAACACATAATACAAAACTGTCTTATGAAGTGGAAACTATCTGGTCATCTAGCATTCCCATTTCAGAATCTTATTCTTGGCTCTCTCAGGTTTCATCTACTCATTGCTCCGGATCTTGAAAACTGCATCTGCTTTTCTGTTCTCTCAAGGCTTTGACCATTGAATGAACACACAAATTATTCTGTGATTTACTGCTCCCCCAAAGCTGAAAGTTTTATGAGCTCTGTGTATTTTCATTTTCCAGAAAAGTGGGTGTGTCTTTGCCTTTTGGAATAAGATACTGTGTATGGTCTGTTTTTGCCCTTAGTCATTGACATTTACATATAGAATGAAATGTTTTCTGGGAGTGTAAACTAATTCCTGCAGAGATCTAGTCTTGGAAATTAAATTGCCATCAGTTATGCCAGTTCTACATCAGTAAGCTCCCATTTTCTTTGTGATGCCTAGACCACAGTATGCAAGTGTCTGTCTCCTGAGCACCTCTATTTAATTATCCCACAGCTTCCTCAGACTCAGCATGTTCTGCCTTCTCTGTTCCTCTACTTACTTAATCTCAGGAAGTGGGCTTCTTCGTGGCCTAAGCTGCCGAAACTAGGGATTTAGGAGCTAGGATTGGCTGCTCCACCCACTGTATTTCCACCTAGGTAATCCTAGCCAGTCCTTCCTTTTTCAGACCTCTCAGGTTTGCCTCCATTTCACTGCCATTTTCCCTTTTTGGTCTCACTTTTGGTTCTTCTGGATCACTTCCACAGCTTCCACAGTTTCTACTTCAAGTTGGGTTCCTCTAGCATATATTCTTTATATGAGCACTAGAATGACATTCTTAAATGCATTTCTTGCAGTCACTGTAGGGCTTATACTTTAGTTATTTGTCCATTGCCTCAGGAATAGAGGCTGACTCTTAATAAAACATTTAGACTTCCCATAATCTCAACCTTACTTACCTCTTCAGTTTCCTCCTGTCAGCTTATCCTCTAGCCACGTTGACTTACTGTTCTGATGTTTTGGTTCTTGTCTTAAAGCCTCTTTAAATATCCACACTTAAACATCTGAAATGAACTAGATAGTAGGCCTTAGTACTTTACTTTCACTAACTTATTGAATCTACTGTTGCCCCGTTACAGAAGAAACAGTAATATTTTAAAATGTATTTGTGTATGGGAATTTTGTATGCATGCATGTATATGCACCAAATGCATGCATGCAGTGTTCATGGAGGTCAGAAGAAGGCATTGGATCCCCTGGAACTGGAGTTAGAGATGATTGTGAGCTGCCATGTGGGTGCTAGGAACCAAACTCAAGTCCTCTGCAAGAGCAGCAAGTGCTTTTAACCACTGAACCATCTCTCCTGTTCCAAATATATATAATTTATTTATTTATTTAAAATTATTTATTGTGGTACTAGGGTTTGACCTAGGGCCTCCCATGTGCTGTGAAAATACTCTAGTACTTAGCTGATCCTTGGTTCTCTTTTTCCTTTTTATTTTAATGTAGGGCCTCACTAAATTTCCCAGGCAGGCCAAAGCAGTATAGTTTTAACAGGATAGCATTTACATTGCATTAGATATTACAAGTAACCTAAAGACAATTTAACATTTATGGGAGGAAATGCATAGATTATATGCAGACACAGATTTTGTTGTCTATGGCGGTCCTAGAATCCATCCCCTAGTGGGTACCACAGGATGATTATCTTCAACGTTTTCTAATTAGATATTTGCCTGTTGGTGAACTTTGCCAGGTTACCTAGGCCTCTACTGATTCAGACATGCTTTTTATGTAGTTCTTCCCTACTTTGCATTCATGTTTGTTACTTATGTTCAGGTAGTGCTATATTTTCAGTTGTAAAAATGAGAGCAGACCACAGTAGTCATTGCTAGAATAATAAGATTTTACAATAGTACTGCCAAACATAGAGTTTTAGTTTTTTGAGACAGGGTCTTGCTTTATAGCTCAGGCTGGCTTTGAACTCATGGTGATCCTCCTGCCTCAACCTTCTGAGTTTGGGAGTACAAGTGTGAGCCATCATGACTGGCTCTATAAACTCTTCAGATACAGTTTTCAGTAACATTTTGAAGACTCTCTCTCTCTCTCTCTCTCTCTCTCTCTCTCTCTCTCTTTATATATATATATAGTGTGTGTGTGTATATATGTATATATTAATATTGTTAAATAGTGTTACTGCTGGTCCATAGTGGAAGGATAAGCCACCCAGTATTCTGTGGTATTTTTAGTATACTTCCTATGGAGTAATAGGAATGGGAGAAAAGCCTTGGGGAGGAAAAGAGAATAAAATAACTCTTGTATCATCAATATCTCCAGATTATAGTTACAGCCATTTGGGTAGTGTGCAGTATACATTATTTTAGGAAGTGGCTATGAATTCATCAAGTGAACATTTTTTAAAAATTGTTCAGTCAGGTTTGATGTGACTTTTAATGTTGAATTTTAACATTTTTTTCTTTTTGGTTATTAAAATAATTATAGGAGTGAGTTATTTTATGACTATTATGACAAGCACATGTGACAAGGGATTTATTACTTTTAAATTTGCAGGTATTTGAAATTTTATATTGGGTGTTTCTCTAACAGCAGAAAAGAAATATACAGTCAGAACAGAGCAAAAGTGCATTTGATTTTCTGTGCTTTGAATTGTTTAAATCTGAAGTAGAATTTTCTTCTAGGTATGGAGATTCAGTACTGCCTTTTGTTCTGTTGACGAATGGAAATTCGCTGACATCCTAAGCATGGCTGACCACTTGAAGAAGTGCAGTTACAATGTTGTAGAAAAACGGGAGGAAGCAATCCCACTGCCATGTATGTGTGTGACTCGAGAACTCACTAAAGAAGGACGTTCGCTGCGCTCAGTATTAAAACCTGTACTTTAAAAACTGTAACTTCACTTGCACATACATGCAAGTACCTGTTATGATTTCTTTGTAATACATGACACTTTATTAATGTATTAAAGACTACAACTAGCTAAATTTATTGTCACTATGTATATAATGTTTTGAAGTGACATATATTTTTATAAAATACTATTAAGTTGGAAAAATGTTGCCTTAATGTTTGAAATGTGTGAAAATTTTGGAACTTGCTGGACAGGGTGATCTAATCTTTAGCTGCATAATTTTCAAAATTAGTACTTTTAATGGTGTGCATATTTTTTGCTTCTCAGACTAAAAAGATCCTGGCCAAAAAAGTTATTTCTTCATGTTTTCTGTGGGTTGAAGCCCATGTCATCAAAAAGCAAAATTTTGATTCCAATCTTTGCAGCTCAGATTTTTTTTTAAAGATAACACTTTAAATTGTTTAAGCACTGCCATATGACCATTATAGTTTTTCTGGTACTCTCCTTTTATAATTATTGATGCATAAGTGATTTCCAGTACTTACATGATGTCATAATGATGACTTCATGTCTTAAAAATAATTCACAAAGATGTTATAATTTTCTGTTGTTACAACTCTTATACAGATAATTACCATATGCAGTTATTTTGTATTGAATACTATTATCTGAAAGGTCATGGAAATGTGTTATATGACAAGTTAAAGCAAAAACAAATCTGTGAATTTAACTTGAAATTATTCTTGGTGATTTCTAGGTATCTGATGTTTGAAAAGAAAATATACCTCACTTTAAGTTTGAATTTGGCATATTGTGTGAATAAATTTCAAATATTCAGAATGCAAAGGGTTTGACTTTTCTTCAAAAGCTTTTAAAATTTTGGGCTTTTGATGTTTATAAAAATAGACTGGCATTTTTTAAGACGTTTGAAAATGCGAAATTTTTTGTCTTTGTAAGATGATAATCAAGCAGATACCTTTGACAATCTGTTTGAAACATTTCCAAGTTTCTGTTTTATACAATTCTCTATCAGGAAGTAAAAGTTGTCTCTTTTTAAAGAGATCAAGTGTGGTAATGAAATAGAGACTATTCTTGAATAGTCTTTTATTATAGTTTTCAAGTTGATGTATGCATATTAAGTTGACGTCACTTTAAAGAACTGAATATACATGCTGTGTTAAGATCTAGAAATAAATTCCGAATACAGGGACATAATTTATCCAGATAAACTCTGACAGTTGGTAAGCTGAAGTTGTTATTAAGTCAAAACTCAGCTGTATCTTCTGTTTCTCCATTGTTCCCGAGAGTGCTTCATGGTTACTGATTCATGTTTCCCATATATGGCAGTCAGACTGGGCAGAGGCATTCCATGGGCATTAAAGAAGAATTCTGAACTGCTTAAGGTTTGTTTTGGCTGGATGAAATCCTAAGTATAGTCGGAAAGTATAGCATTGAGACTAGTCACTTATTTTGCCTCACCTATCATTTAGGAGAATACTTACTTCTCAGTGCTTAAACTTTGTTTTCAGGTGAGATTGAATTGCATTAAAAAACAAAACAAAAAACCCTCTTTCTGTCAAAAAGCTAGAGTAAATATCAAATACTGTAGAATATAACTCTGCTTTTTAAAATTTTGCTGAAGAATGTGTCAGTGGTTAGGATAATATAAGGTTTTTTTGTTTTATGGTTATGCTTTTTAAAACTCGTGGTTTAGGGGCTGGAGAGATGGCTCAGCAGTTAAGAACACTGGTTGTTCTTACAGAAGACCTGGGTTCAAATCCCAGCACCCACATGGCAGCTAACAGCTGTCCATAACTCCAGTCCCAGGGGATCCGACAGCCTCTTCTGACCTACGTGGGCATTGTACTACACGGGTGCAGTTACCTACATGCAGGTAATACATGCATACTCATAAAATAAAAATAATAAATAAAATAAAACTCATGGTTTGTAAGTTTAGAGTCCTTACTTTCACACTGGGTCAGGAAATATTTAACGTTTTTTCCACCTTAAATGTTTTTTCCCCACTAAATGAAATGGATATTTTAATAATAATTTTATATATAATGGAAAACTATTTTTATTTAGCTTTTTTATTTTATTCAAATCAATGTTTTTACAGTTTATTCTGGGTCAAAAAATGGTCAAGTGCTCGCTTCGGCAGCACATATACTAAAATTGGAACGATACAGAGAAGATTAGCATGGCCCCTGCGCAAGGATGACACGCAAATTCGTGAAGCGTTCCATATTTAAAAAAAAAAAAAATGGTCAAACACTAGATACGTATCTCAAAATGAGTCAAGCACGATTCAGCTTTTTTTCCTCCTTTACTATATATGCAATTGATACTGTATAGTTGTTGCAACCAATGTTAGATACCCAGAATTGAATCGTTATTAAAATTTTCGTCATGTTTTTGGATGGGAAGATTCCTATTATAGAACTACAGAGGATATAGGGTTAGTATGGAATATCACATGAAGTTCTGAATAGGAACTATGTATATTTTCATGGTAGTAGCTATTTAAATGTTGATATCACTGCCATCTTAGCTATCAATTATTTAAGTGAAAGCAGCTTAGACATAGGTCAACTGAATTTTGAAAATTAAAATATTTGCTTATTGAAATAATTCTTGTAAAGACTGAGCAGTAATAACCATATTTTACAAAAATTTTAATCGACCTGTGACAAGTAAAATAGCAGTTAATGATAAATTCTTATATAAGATAATGTCAAAATTTTAAGTTAAAACAGGAGTTAAATTTTTTTGTTTTTGCAAGTTTATTAACTTAATAAAAAGTATTCATCTTGGACTTTTAAATTATGAACATCTAATGAAGTTGTGTTTGGATGCCAAACTTGGGATATCACAGGAGCACTCTGGAAGCACTATAAACAGCCAAACTAAAATCACTTAGAAGCTAAGCCAAAGCTTTTCAAAGTTTACCTGTCGTCATAGGCTATAGTATTCTTTCTCTAAAATCTAACGTAGATGCACCCTTTAAAGAACATTATTACATTTATGAATCAAATTAAGACTATCTCTTGAAAATGAGTCCTGAGAACTTTTAAAGATGTATACAATTTATTAATATGTTATTATGAGTATGACTAAAAATGAATGTTAAACAACTTCATATTTCACCATAATAAAAATGAGTTATGTCAGAAATCTGAAACTCAAAGGACAAATTACAACCCTGAGCAGGTAGCTCTCCAGACTCTGCAGCAGGCCATGGCCTTGAGGTTGGTATTAGCAAGAGTTCTTTTTGGAAGGAGCTTCTGTTGAGTTCCAAACTATTGTAAAGGTTTCCAACAGCAGGACACTCAGGGCAAGGCCTGGGGTGTAAATGTTTGATAGAGATCTGTTGTGCTCTGTTTCCTCAAAATGCGTCTTACTGGCCTCTATAGCCTCCTTAGACTTTGGTTGTTATGCAACGATGCTTTATAATCTTTGTAGATAGGGATGCTCGTGTTTTTCTGGTTCTGTTTTGACTCTTCCTGAGTTTGTGTCTTAACAGTGCAGATTGCAGGTTGTAATTGGATGTTCCTGCTGTCTGACTAAAGCACTATGATTATCTCTTACATTCCCAAAAGGTTCTTGAGCAGCTGCTCTTGTTCCTCAGGCACCTTGTTAGTCATTCATTCAAAGATTGTGGGCCTGGAGTGAGTGTCTTTCCTTGTGGAGGAAACTTCAGCTGATCCCCAAACTACTGCAGAAACTGCAGTACCAGAACACCCAGACGTGAGTCTTCAGTAAGGATGTGTTAGGCCTCACTGCTGTGAGAAAATGGCTTTCTCAGCTTACTTTATAATAAGCTCCCAATTTTTAATTCTTCCAGATAAAACCCCTTATATTTTCCCACCTTTATTAATACTTACTTGAGTCTCCATTTCAGAAATTTTATATTCCAGATTTTAAATCTTAAGTTCCCTCTGATTTATTACTGAAAGCAATATGACTTTTTAAAATTAAATTCTCTAAATTTTCTTGACTTGCTGCTTGTCTCAGAATCATTTCCTTATCTTGTGCTCTAAGACAAATGTCAAGTTGCATTACTTCAACTTCTTTATTATTTGCTCCTCTTTTTTACATGGCTGTTGCTCAATTTTTTTTTTTTTTTTCTTAAAAGCAGTGAGCATCTCTCTTTGTTGGGCTTGTTTTAAGACTGATCTCCAGTTGAAGTTTTAAGACTGATCTCGTTTCTGTGCTACATTTTCATGTTTTGTGATCTCATCACGTCTTTTTTGTGGCTTCTTTTGCTTTTCACTAACTTTATTTTTTTCTATAAGTAATTCATAGTGACTATTGTTACTATTCCGTTCTATTAACATTTTATGTGAATGCATCCTGGATTTCTGATAGTGTTCCAGAATCTTTAAAGTCCATTTGAAGTTTTTCAGTTAGCATCAAAATAATTAGGCAGCTCATAATCTTGAGTCTGAGATGATCAAATTAAGCATTTGCATGTTTTATATAAACCTTATTCTTCATTAGCTGTTTTCTTTTTCAGCCCATCATGTTTCTCCTTTTCAAGAGCAAATTTCTGGGTATCATCCTTCCCACACTTTCCTTGGAGAATGAACCCTCTTTAGCACTAAGAGCAGCAGTGGCAGCAACAATAACTGCTGTAATATGGGTTTTCTGATCTGTTTCATTACTTTCCTGTGTTGTGTCTTCAAGCAATGGGTGTTAACACTGATGTCATGCTTTTTCTGCTCTGCTTTTGATGTCTCATGTGAGTGAGTCTTTAATTTGTCCATTTCTCCTTGATCTGCAATCCCTGGTAAATGCCTAGCATCTTCCTTTTGTAGAAGCTTAGGGATAGTCACTGGCTGAAGACTGCATGCTATCAATGCCTTCTTATGGTCTGTTGATGTTATTTTTTTGAAGGATATGATTTGTGTGTTCATACTTTTTTTGAGACAGGATCTGGCTGACTTGAAACTATGTAGACCAGGCTGGCCTTGAACTCACAGACATCTATCTGCCCCTGCCTCCCAAGTGCTGGGATTAAAGGTGTATGCCACTATGCTTGGTTCAGCATACATCTTTCTTGCTGCTCTTTTTTGGAGGAGATCCTTTCATTCCAGTGGTCAGCTTGAGCTGAGGTACATATTTTGGAGATTCTTCCATTTCTGCATTCATCATAATTTTTGTTCCTTGATATATATAGTCCACCTAAATGACATCCTTCTGTGGAACAGGCTTAGGGATAGTATGTGGGAGGATCCATCAGAGCTGTCCCCATGGCCACATTCTTGAGCATCCTATGTCTCCTGAAGAGCTGAGACTGCAGCAGCCATCACAGGGTGTGGCCTCTATTTGGTTTCATCACCATGAGCAAGCACAGGCTGACACCCCAACTTGGATTCTGTGGCCGGCCATGTGCCATCATCTTGCCTGGCACTGCCTTGTGTTCAAGGCTCCAATTTCCATTACCTCCACCCCACCTCTCACCCCTCATGCCCTCAGCCCCTGGGGCAGCCAAGCAGGACGATAATCTGAGAAAGAAAAGCACAAACCTTTCTGTCTTCTGCAGCAGATCCTCTCTGAACTGCTGAGTGTGGAAACCCAGAAAACTCCAGAGCTGTGTGCAGACGTGCTCCACCATATATTTCTTTTACGTACCTTTCACTGTTTTTGTTATGTCCTATTTTTTAGTTAAAATACTTGTTTTTCTACATTTGTTCAAGTTCCTATAAACTTATATGCTTCATTAACATAAAAAGAAAAGCTTTTATTTAAGTAAAATTTTAATGCTTGTTTGACAAATTCCATACACAATCATTGTTTCTGTAGCATTGACATTCTACATGTTTTAAGATAAGCTGATTGATGGTTATCATTGCTGACTTACATTTTACTGGTGAACATTAATTTTAAAAAATTTGTTGTTTTTCCCACTTCAGTATCTTGAAAGTGGTCCCATCTAGTGGTTTGAGAAGCTAGACTTTCTGGCATGAATATTTCTCTAAAACTTGTATGGAAACCTCTTAAGCATGAAAAAACAGAAGGTTTGTTTCGTGGCCTAGTAGATATTCATTTGAGGAATCTTTGATTTCTTAGTCTTTGGTAGTTAGTAGGGTAAAAGATAAGCATCAGGATGAAGGGCAGTATCTAAATTAACTTTTATTCTCAAACCCCTTCCTAGAGATTAACTTCCTAATCTCTGGAAGTCTGTCTGTTTCTGAGATCTCACAGATCTATTTGAATGAGATCCCCAGGTGATTCTGATACACAATAAGATATGATCTTAAAAGCCTGAGACATACTAGCTGCCTCACTTTTGTGTTATTAAGAGTATATATGTATGTACATATGTAAAATCCAAAATTAAGTCATAATTTATTAATGGTTAAATTATGTTGTCTTAATTTTATAACCATGTGACAAAATACATTGGATACTATAACTTAACTTTTTTTTAAAGTAATATTTAAATTATGTTACTTACGGTAATTTTTTTCAAGATAAATTATAGTGTAAATTTTAGTTCATTATCAGTAACCTTTAGCCAAGTTGTCTCATTCTCTGGTTTAGTAGTTTCAAAGTGCTGTGAATGTGTTGGATTTTTAGAATAAACAAAGAATAGAAGTAGAGAAATACTGGATTAAATTCTGTGAAGATACTTAATGTGGATCTTTTCAACCCGGTCAATAAGAGATTAAGTGTAGGTTTCTGATTTATCAGGTGTGTAGAATCTATCTTGATCTTGGACACTGTTCTGCATAGATTACATGTTGCTCTTCTTAACTGTTTTTTAACATTGAATGTTGGG